CTCAGCTTTGGTTCAAGACTGTCGCCCGGAACTGGGGAATCGGAGCCAGTAGTTGCGTGGGCTGTGAAGCTATAAGGTACACCATTTTTGCTGGCGAGAATTCTGTCGCGCTCCTCGCAAGAAAGGGCTCAGGCATTGAAACCTAAAAAGTGGTTTGCCTGGAGGGAAATTCCGATTCCGAGGAGGCAGCGGCCCGCGGGGCTTGGGATCCCAAAAGGGGTTTCCGGAAACTGCAAGATTCCTCTTGCGGGGCTCACTGATGGAAAATGTGGATAGACTACCGAAATCAAGCCTTTGCCAAGCAGAGCACGCCGGGAAGAGGCGAACGAGGCGAAAGAGGAGCCAGTGGTCGAAGCTGGATTGTTGTTAAGGAACTTAGTTTAAATTACTGAAACCTTATTGTTTACTATATATACCTAATGTGGTAACCCTACACCCTAAACTCTATGTATTCTACATATAATATATATATATACCCTATACATACCCATTATGGTAACCTTTTTTTCCGTAACAGCAACCCAGGAAGAGGCCTACGAAGCAGCACCCGCAAAAGCGGAGCCGCCCGGGTGCATAGTGCCAAATATCCAGCAATGTGGCCTTTTGACGTAGTACAATAGGGTTTATACACATATAGGGATTATATAGGGATAATGGAAAATGGAAACTACTATTACAAAATAGCGTATATCTATATCTATATATATATATATGGGTATAAAAATATAGGGATACTGGAAAAATGGAAACTAATATACATATACTCTAATAGGGATTCAGAAAGTAAGACAGTACGGGCCCCATATTTACAGCACTCTTGGTTTAAGCTGCTTTGGCAAAGTGAAGGACCCTTCAATGATTTCCATTCTATGCTCTATACACTACATATATATACATATGTATATAACTGCATAAAATACGCATCAAATAGGATGTAGTGTATGGGGACGCTCGGGATGTGTGAGGATTAATGAAGAGGATGCAGGGTGTGCTTGCACAGGGATTATTTTGAGAGCTTCCTTTCACTTCCCGCTGGTACTCCCCAGTTGTCCGCGTAAGAACCACTTGAACCATCCTTAAACGCAAAAAGGTTTTATGACGCCTTAGAGGATACATGGAGGCCCCCATGCCATGCCCCATTTTCACGCCTGTGTCCTACTGTAGGCCGTTCCCCTAACATGAAACACCCCCCCGCCCCGAATATCAAATGTGTCCTTTTAAACGTGTGGGCTACTATGGGGTCACTGCACTCCCCACAAACCCTAACACCCTGAACTCAAGCCTGAACTCTCAACCCGCTTGAGCCAGGACCAACTTACTCAGCCCTCCCGGCCAAGTGATTTTACTGCGTTGCCGATGATAAGCTAATTTGAAGTTACCATAATAAGGACACCCTTTTTTTACCATACGCCCATAATATCCAGGACCTTCCTTGTACCCTTAATTGAGGATGTATGGCCCCTAATGGTGAGTACTTAGGCCCTAATAGAGGGTAGGAGGAGGGTCTAGGATTGTATCTTAACTTAAGCTCCTTGACAGCAACCTAGATCAGGCGGAGGGGAGCAAACCAGAACGCACGCGAGGAGCTCCGAGCCAGCGACAACGCCAGCGTGGGTGCCGTCGGCTCTGAAAGATCAGCAACCCACCGGCAATAGCTTCGGATTTAGGGTGTAGGATTTTGGATGAGGGGTTTAGTTTGGGTTTGGGGTTTAGGGCTTAAGATGCAGGATTTTGGACCGAGGATTTGCGGTTTAGGGCTTAGGAAGTAGGATTCGGGGCTAAGGATTTAGAGTGTAGATGTAAGATGTAGGCACAACTGCAAAGGGGATTCCATGGGTAGTAATTATGAGTATACAAGGCTTGTGCAGGGATTCTATGCGGTAGTGGCGTTTGAGGAGTTGCGGAATGATGGGGGCCCTTGTTTCGGGCGTCGTTGTGTAGAACTCCCTAAAAATTCGGGCGTGCCTTTCGGGTCTTCTGGTTTGTACAGACCAGCGTGTCTGCTTTTGGATGTGAGTTTGTCATCTTAAGATTCAATGTCGTCCGGAACATGCTGGTGCTCAAAATGCAGGCTTAGATGGTGTGGTAGCAGCCTTGTCTGTGAATACGGCCATCATATAGTAAGGAGGATGCTTGGCCCAGGGACCCAATAAAGGGTCCGACGTTTTCTCTATCTGTGCTCACTGCAAATGAATATCAGAGTCCAACCTACCTATAGAAATCTGGCGCAATAGAGTGCAATATAGACAAGGCACTATGAGAGTTTAAGCCAAGCCGGCTTTTTCGGTACCACCTTCCCCCAAATCTATGCGTTAAAGCTGCAATCTTGCAAAGCATGGCGGTCTGCATGGCTTCCCGCACGCTATCCTCCCAACTCACTCCTCCAAACTGTGTGATGTTTTGCAGCCGTTGCCGTGCATACGAGGCTGTAGCAACATCAGAAGGCTTTGCCATCAGACCGATTTATCTGGCCGGGTTCACCTCTGAAATCTTACCCTAGGGATCCAAATAGCCCAATGTAGGTAATATTTACAGACTTTGGGGCCCAATGTAGGGATTATTTACATACATGGATCCCTAGGGTTAGTTCCCATCCAGGTGAGGAAGGTTCAGGTGAACAAGTTCTCAAGGATCCCGAAGCCTTCATCCCGAAGCATCGAATGGCAAATCCAAAGCCAGAACCCTATGAGCCGTAAGCCCAAGGCCATCAACCCAAAGCCCCAAATCCTAGGGTTTTAGGGGGTTAGGGTTAAGGGTTTGGGCCCTAAACCCGAAACAGAAACCCTAAATCCGGACTCTGAACTCTAAAGCAAAATCCTGAACATTCCACCACCTCTGAGAAGGGAGCTAGGGTTGCCATTTTGTTCTAACCCTGGCATCCTAACCCATCATGAGGTTTAGGGCTATAAGGTTTTTAGTCTTAACTTCTAACATCCCCGTTAATAAGCCCTATAGTACTCCCTTATAATCCCTTATAGACTCCCCTGCAGAATCCCCTTTAAGGAGTGTAGATTATAGCTCGTAAGCTCTAAGCTCTCATAGGGCCAAAAGAGTAGTTCCCCCCGACTCAGAGAGCCATTGGAGGCCAAGGCACAAAAAATCTCATATGAGCTAAAGTCTAAACTCCTTAAAGGGAGGTTATATAGGGATTTATATAGGGGACTACTATAATGGTTTTTAAGGGGGATACTAGGAGTTTAGACTATAGCTCATATGGGGCAGTGTCTTTTTGAGAGAAAGGTGGTATGCTTGCCCGATAGAATTTAGGATGCATCTCTCCTCAAGCATCCCTTGGCCTGAAGGACACTTGAGTTTGGGAATATCCTGTCCTACATTGCCCTCTTCCATGTAGAGTAGCCCCGGAGTAGCCTTGCAGAAGTACTTCCCTCACGCCTTGGCAGATTCTTGGTAGCGTTAATCCTGCTCAGTTTGAAGACCCAACCGATCCGAAGCTGAAGACATTACGTGAAAGTCTTCGGGCCGAGGTCCCATTCGCATTTGGTCTCGACAGAGGCCGGAATCTCACGTTCGAGCTTACTTCTCACAGCTTGCAGGATGCACGCAACTTTCGCAGTTCTTGTTATCCCTGGATGGCTTGTCCATTTGCCTGTATCTTTTTTTTTACATCCCAAGTTGTCATGCCAACATCAGCAAGTTGGGTTGCAAGTTGCGACTGTTTCTACATGAATGGCTCGCAGTATTAGTTTAGCGCCCGCGTTCCCACCAGACAGCGTGCCTGACCTTGAAATCATGACCAAGGGCGGCTCCAATCCTCGGGTGGCTCAGGCCATGGCGCTGGCTGCCACAGCCACCGCAGCTGGGTCCGCCTTCACCATGATGGCCCCTCACCTGCTCACTGGGGAGCCTTTGAATTTCTTGAGGTCATGGTATGAAACCCAACAGCAGACGCAAAAGAATGGTAACCCGGAAGACCAAGCTTCCAAATATCTGCACATGGGCTCCGAAGGCTACCTCGCGGGCTTCGCAGTCGCGAGTTGTGACCCTGGCGTCTGGGCCCAGCCCAACAGCCCCGAGCCACGCCGGAGTCGCAGGCTGCGAATACTGCTTGGTCTTGCTGGTGCTTAAAGGTGGAAATGAGAATGGAACATAAAGTACATAGTGGTTTCTAGGGTACAGGACTTTTTAGGGGTAGATCTCATCTATCCTTGCATTTCAGAACATTATCCGCTAGAATGGTAATTATACCTATTGCAAGCCCCACTCCCTGATGCACCAGCGAGTGGAGGGGCATGGGATGCTGAGGGGTTGGAAAACCTACTGGCAGAGTCTTTCCACCCTGTACTGATTTCCAGAAACGGTGGCCCCCACGATGATCCCACTTTACTAGAGTCTATATTTCCAGACCCCGCATAAAAAGGTGCGTAATTTTTTTGAGGCCCCATATGCCTCCATGCCCAACTTGCTTCTATGTGCAGGTGAAGGTTATTCAGCTTGTGTAGTACCTGTACTTAACCATATTAGCTCTGGGATAACTGTAGCTGTTGGACTCATAAATGGGTTATGATTGTGTGCAGATGCCACGCATGTCATAGTGGCCTCAACCTCCAAGTAACCCTGTTTGGGAAATGCCCAACCCTATAACCTTTGAACCCAAATTGCCATGCATTCCCGTTTATCCAAACTTCAATACAGAATTGTAGGGTGTTGCAAGAGGCTGTTTTCATGACCCACTGGCCTTGTACCCAGCCAGCACTACTATCAGATTTGTGCGATGATTCTCGACTTCCGTGAGCAGCGTCCTGCCCCAACAGTCATTTATTCAAGCTTGCACTTTTCAAGACTCAGGGCCCAATAAAGACTCCATGAGTCAATGAGGATCAATAGGCCCAAGTCGATGCTCCATTTCAGGAGAGTACCCATGCGTTCTTCGCGCTATATAGTTATATAACTCTAGATATCCCTTATATACCCCTATACCCTAAACCCCCCAAACCCTAAACCCTAGCCTATATTCCACTACAAGAGGGCTTCCTCAACGTAAGAGGAGTGACTGGCATGGTGGGGGCTGGCCTTGTGGCGAGCGCCGCCCTAAGCCGTTCCGTGAAGCCCCGCACCAAGAGGAGATGCTGAGTGTAATATAGGGGCCTAGAGTAATTACCAATATTGGTAGGGTTTAGGGTTTAGGGATAATTACTAGTATCATGGTTCCATATTCCTTGTATAATTAAAGTATATGGTACCTCGAATGGACCTCAAAATCATATTGGTAATTATTGAGGCCCCTGTAGCAGGTTGGGTGATCCCCCCACCCAGCAATGAGTACCACAAGGGACTATTGTAGGTATATTAAGGCCTACGAACTCCATGTTGAGGGCTATTACTGTAGGTGGGGGGGGGTTGATCTAAGGTGTAGTAGGGCTCAGGGTGTCGGATTTATAGGTTTTTGGGTGGGCGCTTTAAAAGCTTTTGGTCTCCAGGTTCAGCCCATCAGGCTGAGGGTCGATTTTGGGGCTTCCGGGTCTTGCTTGAAGAGGAACCTCGTGACGATGGCTGCGCGGGGCGGCGAGAGCCTGGATCATGATGGAGTTATACTTTGTTGAGAAAGGGGTAGGTGCCGAAATCTTGCGGGTTGCGATGGTAAATTTTGTGTCTTTCTTTTGCACCTCGTCTTTTCATCTCTCGGACGGACGGGTTTATCTCTTAAGACGGCCAGTCCACAATGAGTTTCTGTGACCGTTACATATATCCGCCGTGTCATCTACACAAACAAAAGGGGGTCGAGACGTGCGGTTGTTTCCTCCCATGTGTGACCTAGGAGCTATGACGCTCTGGTGAAGGACCTAGAGACGCTTGTCAAGGAGAAGGAGTGTGGGCCCATCCTTGTGCGACTTTCCTGGCATGATGCCGGCGTCTTCTCCGACGGGAAGCTGAAGGAGAACCCTAGGGTTTAGGGTTTAGGGTTTAGAACCCTAAACCCTAACCCCTATGAACCCTATAATCACAGTTTCCATTTCATTTTCCATGTTCTTTTCCATTTGTTTGTCCATTTTTTTGGGGGGGGTGTAATATCAACCCCTATAGGGTATATTAGGGCTTATTGGGGCTATATGGGGTTTATTTAGGGATAACGGAAAATAAAATGAAAACTACTAGCCCCTAAACCCTAAAAATAGTAGTTTCCATTTTCTTTTCCATTAGCCCTACATAATCCCCAGTTAACCCTATCTTGAGCCCTAAACCCTAAACCCTAAAACCCTAAACCCTAAACCCTGAACCCTAAACCCTAAGCCCTAACTAAACCCTAAGCCCTAAACCCTAAGCCCTAAACCCTAAGCCCTGAACCGTAAACCCTGAAGGGTGGCTGCCCCAATGCCGCCATGCGCTTCACCGACGGTGGAGAGGGCACCTTTGGAGCAAACGCGGGGCTGCCAGATGTTGCTCTAGGTCTCCTGAAGCTGGGTTGCTGTTTTAACTTGGGGTTTGGGGTTTGGGGTTAAGGTTTGGGGTGTAGGGGTTTGGGGTTTAGGGTATAGGGTTTGGGGTTTAAGGTTTAGGGTTCAGGGTGGGTATATTATCCCTCTAGAATGGAGAATCAAGTGGAAAAGAACACGGAAAATTAAATGGAAAGTTCGGAGTATAGGGATTTAAGGAACCTAAATCTAAGTCCCCATACTGGGGAAACCCTGTTACTTACTACGTATACCCGCTGTGGTAGCTTAATTAGGTTCCTTAACAGTAACCCAGGAAGCCCATCACGGAGAAGTATGTTCCCGAAACCATTGGAAATGCAGATCTCTGGACCCTGGCGGCCAACGTGGCAATCAAGGTGATGGGAGGCCCAGACGTGAAGACCCGTTTTGGTCGCAAGGATGCGGAGTCCTCAGCCGACTCTGTGGAATCTCAGGTTGGGCGCCTCCCGGATGGCGACAAGGAGATCGACCACCTGCGGGAGATCTTCCACCCCAAGGGCTTCACCGACAAAGACATTGTGGCCCTGTCGGGTGCGCACACCGTAGGGAAGTGCCACCTGGATCGCTCCGGCTTCGATGGCCCTTGGACCGAGGCACCCCTGAAGTTTGACAATTCCTACTTCACAGAGATGTTGGAGAAGAAGTACGAGGATGACAAGACTGAGAAGGGCAACCCCCAGTTCAAGAACGGTGAAACCGGAACCATTATGCTCATCTCAGACCTGGCGTTGTTGAAGGATCCCGCTTTCAAGGAGCATGTGGAGAAGTATGCCGCCGACCAGGATGCCTACTTCGCGGACTTCACCGAAGCCTGGGTCGCTTTGTTGATGCTTAGTGCTTATGTTTTTGTTAGGCCTGGGGCGTATTGTTTCTTTTTGAGGGGAACCATAGACATCCATGTAGCGACCTCGGGAGCAGTGACCTAGGTGAAGCTGCAGGAGCTCGGCTGCACAGACCTCCGGGACAGCCTTTGAGAACCCTCCATTTTCCGCTCGTGCCCTCACTCACCCACTCTGCCGTGACGAGTGTGAGGGTCGAGCGATATTTCTTTTCTTCTATAGGGCTGGACTTCTCCAGCAGTAGACCAGAGGCGTCAAGCACATGGAAAAGTCGGTCATTCAAAAGTGTCGATTCAGCAGGCCAGCGCATACCCGTATTCCCTTCTTAGGGTATACAACATGCAAGGAGCTTTGCCGGTATAGTGGAGGCATAGAGCGAATCGTCGCAAAGTGACCAATGCTTTGGAACCTCCAAACCCTCAAACCCCTTGACCTTGCCTCGTGTGAAGGTCTATGCTGGGTGCCGGCTGGCGCTATGCCCCTGACTTTCAATCCTTTGCGGGTGAGCATGGGCGGGAGATCACATGCATCATGTGCTGCAGAAAGGTTTGCAGAGGTGTTGGTCGGCATTGAGGGTTCAAGGCCCTGGATAGACCCGTCAAACGAGTGTACGTAGTGCAAGGAGCCCATGAAGGGGACCTCACCTCCTCAACGTAAGGTTAAGTGTAGGTGCGACGGGGTAACATAGCAGCGTTAAGAGCCCCCCATCAGTTTCAGATTTGTTTTAGGGGTTTAGATGTCTTGTATGGCGGTTTCCAGAAGAACGGGCCCCAATGTTAGACCCCAGTTGGCTACACGTCCTCATTGAGGCGCCCAGGGTCTTTCAAAAGTTCGTCAGGGCGTCCGTGAGTGGTGTGCATGAGGTATGACATGCAGGGCTGTTAGAAGTCCATCGCTCAGAATATCGGGACATATGATAAGTTTGTACCCTTAATGTTTGTAACCCTAGGTTTCCCTAGGTTTTGGGTCCCAAATACCATTATTAAGGACCATATTCCATGGTTTAGGGACCCAAACCCAAAGGTAAAAACCCTAAGAGTACAAAGGAGAACTCCTTGATATGACATATGATTGCATGCATGGCGGAGTGCGCTCATATACTATACCTGGTGGGGAATTAACTCAGGCGCGTAGACTCGCCTCCTGATATTGTGATGTTCAAAGACCAGAATGAGGTTGATGCTGCTGCTGTTGTATCGAGTTTTATTCTGGGTATGTCAAGGCTAACACGATGCCCTGTAGGCATAGTATGCCTGCTATTGCAATGTTGTCTGTGATGTTATTGTTGTTGACGATGCTGCTGCTGAAGAAGATGTTGACGTTTGCGATGATTGAGTACTGTGATGATTGAAGCTCAATTGCTATTCGTGCTGCTTGAACAGCTGTCAGTTGCCAGCGGAAGCCAGTTTGAGCCTCGTGGCGCAGCGCTTCTCATGCATTTCAAGTGACCTCATGGTTCATGTTGTTCGGGTATTCTTGGAAACTCAGGGATGCTCTTGACTACACTGGAATTGTAGGCAAAGCTCTGAAGGACGATTTGGGGCTTATTCTTAGGAAGCTCCCATGAAGACGTCTTTTGGGGGTCTCTACTAGTAGCTGACTCTAGCAACTTAAAGTCAAAGCTTCGAAAAAGTTGAATCAGATGTATAGGGTCCCTTGCATGGGTCCCGCATTACGTAGCTTCCCCCTTTTGTGGTAACTTGCCGCCGCAAGTCGCGCAGCAAATGGCAGTGCGCCAGGCCCTTGGGCTCAGTGTCTGCAATGTGAAGCCTGAGAGCGCACACCCTGCTCTAGTCTGGGTAGGCCCCTGGGATATTTAATGTTTTCCCTAATGGCTTTAATAAGGGACCCTATATACTAATATTTTTCAGTGGGTTTTAGGGGCCAACCCAGTAGTTCACACAAGTTACACCAAAAACTCCTTGTAGGACCCTGATGCGCTTTCGATTTGTTTCCGCAAATCCCTGGTGAAGGCTGGCGCCGGGAAGATAAAGGGCAAGGCAGGATGGGCAAGCGAATCCAAATCACGGATCCGCCTCCAGTCCCTATATGAGCTATAATCTAAA